TTTTCATCCTTGGCTCTTAAAGTCATTTGATAGATCAAACCCATTATCTTCCAAGTTCTCAAAATCCACTATTAGTTCAGCAAGAACTGACAATTGTTCTGTTGGCACAACCGAGGGAGTTCCCGGGGCATCATAGATGGAAATAGGTCAAGAGTGAAGTGGAAGGTTTAGGTTTTCCTTAGGAAGAAGTAGTTTCTGGTGATTAGGAGTTGATTGTTGAGAAGCCATTATTGATGATGTGTGATTTTGGAACACAGGCGAAGAGTTTTTAGGGTTTTGAGGATTTGGGGCTAAAACTAGATAAAGTGTAGGAAGTGGAGTGAGACTTGTGTGAGAGGTGAAGTGAGTGAGTTTTTGAATATGTAATGATTATTAAAAACTTTGATTAGGGAAAAAAATCAGACAAGGGGTAAGGAAAATGGATTTTCCACCTAGTCCTAGGATTGTCTCACTTCTCAACGAGTCACGTCAATCATCAGGCGTGTTTCGATAAAGAACCCATTTAATGCATTTAGACTTTTCAATTTTCAAGGGATAGAATCGATTTTAAAACTAAGATAGTTTCTTCCTTGAGCACTTCTAATTGTTTGAAAATATTAAAAGTTTTGTATACTAGACGTAAAAATATTTTAGTTAATTTTACTTTTTTATTTATTTTTACTAATATTTGAAAGAAAACAAAAGAAAATACTCTATCAGAAGACATGTAAATTCTAACCTGGCATTTCCTGATTTTGAAGAGTTTACCTTCATCATTGAGCTTGTTTCTGATCATCCATTCTGTTGAGAACTTCTTGTCATCCATTCTTTGTCCTAGTGTTTCTTCAACCAGTGGAGATGATACCATAAATACTGAGCTGGGAACATTTAGTTAGAAGGTTTAAGGAGAGATTTGGTTCAGACAGGTTAACCCATAAATGGTTCTTTAGAAATGGTAGCCTTTGCCGGAACTTCTATAGAGGAGTCTGATTTACAGAAGTTTCTTGAAGAGCATCTTCAAATTCTCTTACTTCCTGAACTTTAGCAGCAGCTTCATTACTTCTGTCATTAGGCACACTAGCTTGACCCTAACAGATGACTTATTTTTTGATTGACTTCCTTCGATCGAACTAGATTCTAAATATCCATCATTTTTTTGGTGATTCTAAACATGTTTGCTGAATAGAATATTCTTCTGAGAATCATGGACAAATCTACTGAGCTTTCAACAGGTTCTTCTTCAGATGTTTAAAGTAACTATCTTTTATAAGGTTTTGATAGATCTACTCAAGACGATGTTTATTTGATCCATAGAAGCTTGCAGCGGTTGTCATTTGGATGGCAGCTTCAATTGATGATTTTAGACTTGATTATTGACCTTTACTTCTAATCGAGAACTTCTAAAGTTGAGAAGATGAATTCCTTTTTGTCAGGTACTTGACTCTTCAGAATTCTAAGAACTTGTTTCCAGAGATTTTGTATTCATTTCTGATTCATATTCAAAGTTTTGATTTCTTCTCAAGATACACTTTTAAAATAGAACCTTTCAATCATTTGAGTAAATAGTGTCCAAAGAATTTTCTCTTGTTGGATCTCTCTACACGGTTAAGTGTTTGATTCTTCAATCAATATAGAGTCGGGCTCTAATACCAATTGAAGGTAGAGAAAACACAAGAAAGGGGGGTTTGAATTGGGTTTATATAAAAAATTCCCCTTTACAAATTCTATTTACTCAAATGATAAAAGTTATAAAGACAATGAAGAGTAAAGAACACAAGTGATTTATCCAGGTTCATCTTAACAAGGTTAATCCTATCCACCCCTCAAGGTGGTTTTCCTTTAACAAGGACTTAATCCACTATAACCAAACTGATTACGAATGCACTGGTAATAGTTGGTGACTAACTGACAATGACATGTTTAGTGATTCAACTTAACAGATATAACGTTCATTGACCAAATAGAATCAGATCACTAAGATCTCCTATCAAGAGTTTCACCATGACCAACAACCACTGTCTTCTAGAGATCAGACCTTCACTCACTCTTTCAAGGAACCTTTCAATGATCTGTTCAGTAATATGATTTAACGAATATAACAGTCATTAACCCAACATAATTTGATCGCTTAAGATCTCCTATTAAGATTTTCTATAATGTCCATCAGCCACTGTCTTCTTGAGATCAGACCTTCACTAAGTCTCTCAAGGAAACTTTCAATGATCTGTTCAGTGATCCGATTTAACGGATATAACAATCATTGACCCAATATAATCCGATCACTTAAGATCTCTTATTAGGATTTTCTACAATGACCAGCAGCCATTGTCTTTTGGAGATCAGACCTTCACTCAGTCTCTCAATGAATCAATCAACGTTGTTGATAAGGTTTTATGTTTACATGATTTCTCCTTCTAAGCAGATTACATAAATGATTAAGCACATATTATTTAACACAATTTCTAGCAACAACTCTTGTGTTAAAACAATTCACATGAAGAGATTATAACTATAACATAATACGAGAAACAACTCCTGCGTACCTTAAAAGGTTCTTATCAAGATGTATTTGATCAGAAGTTGGGTACCATCTTATAGTGTTCTTCTTCTTCATCTTCTTGTTGAACAAGTTACGAGAAATAACTCCTTGCTTCTTCTGAGATTTACCAAGATATATATGATGATAGTCTGTGTAGCATCTTGTAGATTTCTTCTTCTTTATCTTTCTTTCTTTTCTCTCATTTCTGCGTAGTGGTCTTCAGCGTGTTTAGCATTGCAGCTTTGACAGCTTCAGTATCCACAGCTTTTTAGCTTGATGGCCAAGAGCACTTTCTTTCAAATCTTTGATCTTCTTTTATAGCCTTGAGAGAGAGACGTTGTGAGGATTGAAAAATCCTTTCCTGCATCAACGGTTAGTTCCCAAGGGATAGAATAAGGTGTAAGAGTTTGGACAATACAGAGTGATATTATTCATTACATGTCACTTTACAACGTTTAACTTTAACCTTATCTTCAATAGATGTTTTTCTACTTAGTTTGTAGACATAGATCAGTTAAGGGTAGAAGGATAATATGGGAAATAGTTGTTTGTTCCCAACAGTCATAATGAGAGTGGTACACAGTATAGTACGAAAGTACTGTCCTTACGTCACCCTAGAGGGTAGAGGTCACATAGAACTTTTTGTACCTTTTGTACGCCATCACATGTTAACCATTTTGAATTTCTTCTAATTTTTAGAGGCTTCAGATGATTTGAATGTTTGAAGCGTGTTGTAGATGAATCACTCATAAATCTTAGAAACTAATCTTAGAGTCTTCAGAACATGTCCCATCAGAACCTTGTCTTTAGAGTCTTCAGCACTTGGTGGTAAGAACATGTTTTTTCCAGATCATCTAAACTTATTCAGCAGAACCTCGTCTTCATAATCTTCAGAACTTGGAACACAGATAAGAAAAGCTTTAGAAGGCCTCCAAAGCTTAACCATAAAGTCACGATCAGAACCTCTTGTACTAACGTTCCTAAGAACTGTTGCGTAAGACGAATTCTAGAATCATGACTTCAATTGTAACATGTAACCAAATTTTTTCCTCTAGTATTGTTTATGTTCAAAACCTGATGACGTCATACGCCTTGGTACCAGATTTAGAACATTATAGAATCAGTTATACACTAAAACGAAACCATTAGAGTATACAATTGTTCTTTATGATATCATATAAAGTTATCATCAAAATCTTAAGGCTAGATGTAGAAACACTTCTTGTTCTTACACTTTCATTCACAACTCTATACAAATCCTTATTTTTATTTTTCTTCAGTATATATTCCATAGTTTCCACTTTTAAATACTTTCACTACCACACACATAGTGTGTTCATTTTTCCTTTTTGAGTCTTGTATAGCACTAGAAAAACTCCATCACGTTGCTCACTACCAATGTTGACCATCAACCTTTGCAACATAATACAATAATCGGAGAAAATAAAAACAATTCACAAATCTTCCGTACACAAAATTCATCTCCAATAACCTGCCAAAAGGCACTTGTATCACTAATTTTCATTAGCCATTAACCATAGTGTCATACCCCAAATTTGTCCTACCCTCATATCTTTTCTCCTGGCGTACTGCATTTCATTTGCATACTTTCATTAGGTCATTAGCATAGCATGACATTGCCATCACTAAAGAACAGTGGTTCAAGAGCTCAATTGGTTGTGCAACATCAGGGTTTTACAGTGGTTGAGGTGTGTATATCCAATAAAGTATGTTTCTTCTGGTTCTTCAAGCAGTAGATTGTGAGATTATGGTTATAAGGTTTGGTTACCAGGAATCCCTTCTTCAAGGGCTATTATCCACCCAGTTCTATCATTAACCAGAGATTAGGGTTTATTTCCCTACATCAGGTCAATAGAATCTTGGTTTCTATTTAGAGTGTTTGAGAAATGGCTTTAATTATTTAAACTGAGGTTCAAGGAATTAGGGTTGTTTTATTGGTACTAGAATTTGCGACTGAGATTATTTTGTATTTGGATCAGAGTTTAGTTTCAACTGTATTCTCTTTCAAAGTGCGTCTCAGGTTAGGGAGATTAGGGTTTGTACTCATCATGTTTGAGCTTGTTAACATTCATCAACTGAGGATCTTTTGTTTATGATTTTCATGACAAGTATCTCTTTATACTTCAAGCCTCATTTAGTACGAGATTTCCTCAAGACAATGTTTTTGTCCAGGCAATGTATTTTGTGAGTGGAATTGAATTATGGTAGAAAATTTGAAGATGTGGATTTGTTTTGGATCAAGACCATCTTTATTCTCATCAAGATTGACTTTCGATTAAAGTCACTTTGACTTTCACAATTGGCCATTACTACACCCTTTTGGTTATTTCAGTTCATATTATAATGGGCCGTGGATTAAGGTCGTTTTGGTTCAAGCATTTCATTCAAGATAAAATCTAAATCGCACAAAGTGGAGGAAATTGTTCCATCATTTGAAAGCAAGTTACAAAGGCCAACGTTCATGTACAACTTCCATTACAGATTTCAAATTCATTACAAATACCTTGCCATTTACAACTACAATTCCAAGTTCACAATCAAAGTTCCACTCAAAAAAGAGGATCTAAATGTCATACAATTGCCAAACTTCAAGAACTTTACAAATAAACAAATTACATGGAAAATTTCTAAAGCAAAAAAGCAGTTCCAGCAGCTTGGTGCAAATCTGCATCGAAACCTTGATCAAAATAACTCCAAAGCTTTGCCTCACCATGACCAAATCGAGCATAAAAAAAACCTGCACAATTCAAAGTCCTGCATCATGTATAAAATCATGTTCACAAAGCAATTCCAAACAGAAAATTCAGCCCCGCACATGTGTACCAAAACAAGTTCAAATATCAACACAATTCAAGTTAACCAAGCCAATACAAAACTAATTTCAATTCCACCTCAGCAAAGAAAAAACAGAATTATCAAAACAAATTAAATCAGAAAATAAAAAGCCAACTCAGCAAAGAAAATAACAGAATTAAACAACATCATACAGCTCACAAACTTGCCATCCAAGTTTTTTTTCCTTACCTCCACTCCACAAAACCAGGGGTTATCCCTTTCATTCTTATCCAATTTCTCTTGTTCTTGTCCTAATTCCCATTCTAATCTCTATTATACCCTCACTCCAATTGTCCTATATAACATCCCCCATTCCTTTCAATTTCACACACGAATACACCAACATCCACCCAATAGTATTCACCCAACAATCACAACAATATACCAGAGTTACACAGAGAAATTAGCAGGAAAATCCTCAAAATTTCTCTCACTGGACACGATTCAACACCACAAAAATCACAAAAAACTTAGAACTAACCTCATTCAGAACCATTCTTCAGCTCTTTGAAGAATCACCAAAAGCTTCCACCAAAATTTCTCCCTACTATCACTCTTCCATAATTTTTTTTCTTCATATTCATCAATCTCTTAACCGCATCACCATAGTTATTTCATTGCAGCAACTACAATCTTCATCTTCATCAACGTTATGTTATCATCACAGTGTATCAACACGCAATAATAACAACCGCGGTATCAATGCAACAAGAGCAGAAATTCTTTTTTAAGAAAATGAAGTACTGATAAAATATGAGTTCAAAGGGAAAAAGTATCGGTACCTGATTTTACAAAGAGTTCTATCTGGTTTTCTCACCGTGTTCGTCACTTTGAAGAGCCCCCCCCCCCCCCCCCCCCCCCGGGAGCTTCTCCGGGAGCTAATCTCGAATCTCCATTTGTGATTTTGTTTGTGTGCCTCTGAACTACATCGTTTACGCATTTTAGCATATTTTGATTTTTGTTGTTGTTACAACTGGGGGTTTGAGACTGTAGAAAACGGATTTTTAAAAAAATGGCACAAAGGAAAACTATCGGGACGAGTCGCATACTAGGTCGCTTTCTTTAAGACATTTCGTCGTACTGCCAATATTAATGCAAAGCAGTCGAGTTTCGATAATGCCTCCAGGATAAAACAGCCCGTTCAAAGTACGACAATTACTTGCACTATAATTAGTCGTTCGTAAAATGACACCTTCGGATGGTAGTTAACCAGTCTTAGTATCTGGATATGAAGTGATCCAGTCGAAAATAAGAGAGAAGAAAAATATAGATGAAGGGAGTAGTGAGAGAGAGAAGAGAGAATTGTAGTAGTGAATTCTAGAACTGCCCAAATGAACCGAAACAAATCAATTTATAAGTAAAAAGGTCAAATTGAATGGAACAGGTCTAGTGGGAGAGAATCGTGGGAGAGGTGGAATTGGCCCAGTCAAAGGTGGCCGTTATTTTACTTGGTCAGCAAGTCTCACGGACTCTTGGAGGGAAAGCAAAACCAGTCAATAATTAGGTTAAGACTTGGTCTTTTGTGCAGGACACATCACCATCTATTAATTAATTAATAATATTAATATTAATTAATTTCCACTAATTCGATTCAAAAAGATTAATTCATCTAGACCGGACCGGACCGAACCGAGCCGAGTCGGCCGGTCGGACGGACGGCGGCGGCGGCGTGCGCGCGTGTGTCTAGATGACTTATGGGTGTGTCCTCACTCCTTTACAAAATTGGGGTGCCCCTTGGGGCCCAACCCAATTGGTCAAGTTGGAATATATATACACTACTAGTATTTATAATCCCTCCTATATGGGACTAAAATGAATCTTTTCAAATTCACTTCCATACTAGTTCTTACTTGTGCTCATTTATTGTCCATTTAATGTCAATAAAGTATTCCAACTCCCACTCCAAGTTTACATCATACCAAGATTTCCAACAATTCCCCACTTGAATTTAAAAGGTGATTTTTAGAGGTACGTCAAACGTTTCTAAGATTGTGCATAAGCAAAGGTGTCTACGCCTTGAACCTTTGCGTAGCAAGTAGGATTCTGATTCAACAAGAGTGACACTATTATCTTGAACTCTATCTCAGACATCAGACCCGCACACAACCTTTTCTTAAGGTGTATTCTAATAGCATGTGCTTTAATGGCCCTGCACGTATATCCCGGTTTAGTGAAGGCTCTAGGAATCCTGCCTCGTAATTCCATAGGAACCGCCTAAGTTCCACAATCACATAGGTGAGTCTATCAAGAGTACTCCTGTAGCCTAGGTACTCCCTCATACAGAGTATAGATCTCATTAAGAGTTTCTATTATCTCATCCTCTTATTACTTCAGGATTCATGCTTTACTTGCATGATCATCTCATATTACTCATAACTTGTTATTACCCATTGAACCTATTTCTTGGGATCTCCAGTCATCTAGGTCGGGTTACCATTATGAGCAACTCATTTCTTTATAGGCATTAGTCCCATCCTTTTGGATGTATTATGGAATTTCTCTCTAGCTAATCCTTTCGTCAAAGGATCTGCTAAATTTTCATCAGTGCGTATATGATCCACTCTTACAGCTCCTTTAGAGATACAGTCTCTAACAGTGTTGTGCTTCCTTCTTATTTGATGTCTTTTACCATTATAATAACGGTTCTCAATTTTTGCAATAGTCGCGGTACTATCGCAGTGGATCAACACAGCTGGCATAGGTTTTTCCCATAAAGGGATCTCAGCTAGCAAGCATCTCAACCAACTTGCTTCTTCACTAGCTGTGGCTAGCGCTATCATCTCAGATTCCATTGTGGACTGAGCTAGAATAGTTTGTTTCTTTGATTTCCAAGATACAGCTCCTCCAGCTATGCTAAATATATAGCCACTAGTAGCTTTGGAATCATCTGACAAAGTATTCCAATCTGCATCACTGTACCCTTCTAGTACAGCGGGAAACTTCTAATAATGTAGGCCGAGATCCATGGTCCTTTTGAGGTACCTCATGACTCGTTCAATAGTTTTCCAGTGCTCTTTACTCGGTCTACTCGTAAACCTGCATAACAATCCTACGACATATGCAATGTCGGGTCTAGTACAATCAGTGGTATACCTAAGACTGCCAATGATGCTCGCATATTCTGATTGTTTGACACTTTCTCCAGTGTTCTTAAATAGTTTCACACTTGGATCATATGGTGTGCATGCAGGTTTACATTCAAAGTAATTATATTTCTTTAAGATCTTCTCCACATAATGTGATTGATCCAAAGAAATTCCTTGTTCGGATCTCGTGATCTTGATGCCAAGGATCACATCTGCTTCTCCGAGATCTTTCATATCAAAGTTGTTGCACAACAATGATTTCACATCATTGATGGTCTGAATGTTAGATCCAAATATGAGTAGATCATCAACATAAATACATATGATAGTGCATATGCGATTCTCAGATTTATAGTAAATGCATTTGTCACTTTCATTCACTTTGTACCCACTTGATATCATTAAGTTATCAAATTTTTCATGCCATAGCTTAGGAGCTTGTTTTAGTCCATACAACGACTTATTTAACTTACAGACCTTGTTTTCTTATCCATAGATTACAAACCCTTTCGGTTGTTCCATATAGATTTCTTCTTCTAAGTCACCATTTAAAAAAGTTGTTTTTACATCCATTTGGTGTACTATTAAGTTATAAATAGCAGCTATTGAAATAAGTACCCTAATGGATGTAATTCTAGTGACAGGAGAAAAGGTGTCGAAGAAATCTATATTTTCTCTTTGTCTAAAACCCTTGGCAACAAGGCGAGCCTTGTATTTATCAATAGTTCCATCAGGTTTTAGTTTCCTTTTCAAAACCCATTTACAACCAATTGGTTTGCAACTAGGAGGCAAGTCTACTAAGTTCCAGGTCTTATTGGATTCTAGAGATTCTATCTCATCATTGATAGCCTCTTGCCATAAATCAGCATCCAGAGAAGACAAGGCTTCTTAAAGATTCATAAGATCTTCTTCTACATTATAAGCCGCATAGTCAGGCCCATAGTATTTAGTGACTCTTACTCGTTTACTTCGCCGAAGTTCTATTTCTATATTGTCGTTGCATTCTGTGCTTCTTATCACAGGAGTCTGACTCGATTGTGTGCCCCCACTATTTCTCAACTTGAAGGGAAATTTGTCTTCATAGAATTCAGCATCATTTGATTCTATGATCACTTTTTCTATTAGGTCATAAAACCTATATGCTTTACTGTTTGCTGCATATCCAATGAAAACACATTCATATGCTCTACTAGCGAGTTTAACTCGTTTCGGATCCGGAATTCTGACATAAGCCAGAGAGCCCCAAGTTCTCAAATAAGACAAGTTTGGTTGTCTTTTATTTAATATCTCGTAAGGAGAGATCTTAAATTTTGACTTTGGGATTCTATTCAGGACATAGCAAACAGTCAATAAAATTTTCCCCCACCAGTGAGGTGCAGCACCATAATTCATCATAATTGCAACAACAAGTTCAGTAAGAGTTCTATTCTTTCTTTCTGCTTTACCATTCATTTCAGGAGAATATGGAGCATTCGTTTCATGTATAATTCCATGTTCTTTATAAAAGTCATTAAATAGACCAGAGTCATATTCAGTTCTCCTATCACTACGAAGTCTCTTGATCTTCTTACTAAGTTGATTCTCAATTTCGGTTACATACAACTTAAACATATCAAGTGCTTCACTTTTATTCTTCATTAAGTATACATAAGTATAATCAGAACAATCATCAATAAAGATGATAAAATAACGTTTATTGTTCCTAGTCAAAGTTCCATCTAATTCACATATATCAGAGTGTATAAGATCTAGGGGATCATATTCTCTTAGAATTGATCTATGTGATGTCTTAATTATCTTAGCTTGAGTACAATATTCACATTTATTTGAATCATTGACATTTAGTTTAGGGATCAGGCCTAAGTTGCTTGCATTATACATAATTCGCTTATTAACGTGACAAAGTCTAGCATGCCAAATATTAAAATCACGCAGAAAATAAACAGAAGGACAAATTTTATTCAAATCAACATTTAACTTAAACATGCCATCAGTGGCGTACCCTTTCCCAACAAAAATACCATTCTTAGTGATGGTGTACAAATCTGCCCCTATAGTTTGACTAAACCCAGCCTTATTTAAAAGGAAACCAGAAACAAGATTCTTCCTAATTTCAGGAACGTGCATGACGTCCTTCAAGATCAAGGTCTTTTCTGAAGTGAACTTCAGCTCAACATCTCCAATTCCAGCAACATTAGTGGTGTGGGCATCTCCCAACAACACTTTCTTATCTTCAGTATTCATGTATGTATTAAACATAGCACGGTCATACAAACATGACGAGAGGCGCCAGTGTCTATCCACCAACCATCACTTCCATCAACCATGTTGACTTCAGTGAACATAGCAATGAATTGCTCATCAGTCAGGTTAACCTGTGCAATTTGGGCCAGTAGCAGACTTAGGCCTGCTCTTACATTTCTTAGCCATATGACCCGGTTTCCCACAATTGTAGCAAGTGAAAACCGGAACATCATTTCTCTGGGATGGTGGTTGCTGCCTATTAATTGGAGTATATGGGGCCCTAGAGGGATTCCCATTCTTAATTCGGTTCACAGTATTATGGTTCTGATTCTTTAAAGGTTTGCCCGTAGGCTTCAGAACCGCACCGAATTTCTTTTTATTGTTTGAAACAACTAAGACTTCATCTTTCTGATCTTGTCTTCGAGCTTCCTCTTCAATTCGAAGGCGGGTAATCAAACTCTCGATTGAAAATTCTTTAGTTTTATGTCGGAGTAAGTTTTTAAAATCTTTCCAACCAGGAGGCAGCTTGTCAATTATAACAACAATCTGAAAGTGTTCATTGAGGGGCATTCCTTCAGTTATGATTTCATGAGCAATCTTCTGTATCTCGTGGCTTTGAGCTTCCACAGACCTTTCATCCACCATTTTGTAATTCAAGTAGTGACTGACAGCATATGTTTTTTGCACCTGCTTCTTCAGTATCATATTTCTTCTGCAGAGCCTCCCATACCTGTTTAGCAGTCTTGTAATTACTGTAGTAATCATAGAGATCATCAGTAAGACTGTTCAGAATGTGATTTTTGCAGAGGTAGTCACTTTCTTGCCATAGGGCGATTTCTTTTCGGAGCTGTAAGTTATCTGCCACAGCTTTAGCAGCAGAGTCTAAGTCAGACGTTTTAGAAGTTTCGTCTGATTCCACGGTTGACTTACCATTACTTAGTTCGTTTGATCCAGATGGAGCAACAGGGATATCCTCAGTCAGAACGTGGGCAACCTTCTTTAAAGTTAAGAAAAATTTCATCTTATCTTGCCAACGTTTGAAATTGGAACCCTCAAACTTAAATGGTTTGTCAGAGACAGAAGCGGCAGCGCTAGTACCGATAATTTCCTCAGTAGCCATGGCAGTTATGAAAACGTCTTAAAATTGTAGAAACCGGATTTTAAAAAAAATGGCACAAAGGAAAACTATCGGGATGAGTCGCGTACTAGGTCGCTTTCTTTAAGACGTTTCGTCGTACTGCCAATATTAATGCAAAGCAGTCGAGTTTCGACGACGCCTCCAGGATAAAACAGCTCGTTCAAAGTACGACAATTGCTTGCACTATAATTAGTCGTTCGTAAAATGACACCTTCGGATGGTAGTTAACCAGTCTTAGTATCTGGACATGAAGTGATCCAGTCGAAAATAAGAGAGAAGAAAAATATAGATGAAGGGAGTAGTGAGAGAGAAGAGAGAATTGTAGTAGTGAATTCTAGAACTGCCCAAATGAACTGAAACAAATCAATTTATAAGTAAAAAGGTCCAATTGAATGGAACAGGTCTAGTGGGAGAGAATCGTGGGAGAGGTGGAATTGGCCCAGTCAAAGGTGGCCGTTATTTTACTTGGTCAGCAAGTCTCACGGACTCTTGGAGGGCAAGCAAAACCAGTCAATAATTAGGTTAAGACTTGGTCTTTTGTGCATGACACATCACAATCTATTAATTAATTAATAATATTAATATTAATTAATTTCCACTAATTCGGTTCAAAAAGATTAATTCATCTAGACCGGACCAAACCAAACTGAGCCGGCTGGTCGGACAGACGGACGGTGGCAGCGGCGCGCGCGTGTGTCTAGATGACTTATGGGTGTGTCCTCACTCCTTTACAAAATTGAGGTGCCCCTTGGGGCCCAACCCAATTGGCCAAGTTGGAATATATATACACTACTAGTATTTATAATCCCTCCTATATGGGACTAAAATGAATCTTTTCAAATTCACTTCCATACTAGTTCTTACTTGTGCTCATTTATTGCCCATTTAATGTCAATAAAGTATTCCAACTCCCACTCCAAGTTTACATCATACCAAGATTTCCAACGGAGACTGATCCCAAGCGAAGAAGACGGCACAGTGAAGTATATGAAAACGGTGGACGAAACTGATTCGAAATCGCAAATGGCGGAGTCAGTGTTAAAGATGACTGAATCATCTAGCGGAAGTCAAACAGAGCAAGATGTTGAGACAGAGAGTTCGAACGAAGAAGACGAAATCATAGAAGTAGGGGAAAGACGGAGACAAGTTATCATGGAGAGGATGCGAGGCGAAGGGAAACCGGAGAGATAAACGACATAGGAAGTTGATTCGTCGCCGCGTCTAAAGTTTGAAGAGGGAGGGAGTTTTTGTTTTGCATTCAGAAGAAGAAGAAGGTAGACTGGAACCCTAATTCATCTTTTACTTTTCAATTCAACTTTTTTTTAATTTAAAAAAAAAGTTTAAATCAATAATAAAACAAAAAGTCCATCCTTTTTGTGTTGTTGTTCGGCCGAAACCCTTCCCTTAGCCCATCCTTTTTTTTTCATTTCTTTTACAAACAATAAAGATCTTTGGGCTTTGCAGTCCAGACTTAGTACCAGAGCCCCTTTATTTGGCTTATACCCCTGGATTTCAATTTCATACCCCCTCCCCTCTATTTTGAGTTTTAGACTTTTCCTTAATTTCCTCTTCATTAATTTTGATAATAAATTTAGAGTTTAAATAGAGATAAAAAGATAATAAAAAATAGTAGAGTTTTAGATTTTGTTTTTGGAACTTTTAATTGGGATTTCTCCTTTTTGAAGTTTAATTTTGTAAATAATTGTGAATATTCCTTTTGTTTGCAATTCATAACAAATATTAATTGAGATATTTTTATGGTTAATGTTTGTTGATTGTCTTGATGCCATGTTCTCTTAAGGATGTTATGAAACGATTAAATTCTATTTAATCATTTTGTGATAGACATTAGGCTCTTATCCATGCATGCTAACTCAGGTAAAATTTTCCCCTTTCAAAATTCAACCTTATGGTCATCATTGTATGATAACATTAGGGCTAGAAACTAGGTTAGTCTCCCTTATACTTTTTCATTCTCCCCTTTTACATTCTTAAAACTAAAACTTCTTTTTCTTTATCAACTTCTCATAAAACACTCTAACATTACAAAACCCTTTTTCAAGGTAAAAAACACAAACCAATTCAAAACTCTTTTGTCACTTGGTTTTTCTTTTGAAAATTCTTTTCATAAAGAGAATTTGTTTTAGCCATTCCAACACGAAGCAAACTGAACGACTTAAGCCTCTTCAATGAGCTCTCATTCTCAATGTTCCGATGTTTGGAATGTTTAACGCATCATTCTCATTAAAAAAACACACAAACAAAGATCTTTTCTAGAAAGAACAACGAGTGCCCTGATCCCCCACTGCACGAGTGGTGGTACGTAGGCACTAAATATTCGCAACCGCGATGGACACAACTAATAAAAACTGATCTTACCGGATCAGAATTGGACCATCACAGCTGACTCGAACTGGATTTGAATGAGATGGGGGGTACCTGCAAGACACTCCGATGATAAAATGAGAGACGGAATGGGCAGGAAAATAGTATGTAGGTGCGTAATGAATGAATACCTGACCCTCTTGGAACAGAGGGTATTTATAGCTCCCAGCGCTGGGCCAAGTTCCCTTTATTGGGCCGACCAGAGCTGGCCCAACAAAGGGACTGCCAGGTTCTACGTGTAGTAGGGACCCGCACGTGGTCCCCTTCCTGGATGGTGCTCTGCGAAGAATGAGGAAGAACGAAGACGCGGTCTTCTTGGAGCTCTAAGGATTCCGCAGCATTTGGAGGGGGTTGAGTCTGCCCTACGGGGAGGATGCTCGAGCAAGGCTCGAGTTGGAGTACCCTCGGTCAGGGACGTTGCTCGCTGCAGGTAGCGGCGGGCATAACCGTTGTGGCCTGTAACTGGGTATGCTCGGGGTGGTCTGATTCCGAGCATAGCTCGAGGAACTGCTTGGATCTGGGCCTTTAGTTGTGTTTTGGGCTAAGGCAGGCCCAGTCCAGAACAGGAGCCCCCCCTAAGTCATTGTTCCTGGCACAGGAGTTATGACTTGATCTCAGTTTGCTCTTTTCGCGGGGACCTCGTTCCCGACTCAGGGCTTTCCCTTTCGAGGCGTACTCGAGGATCGCTCGCGGGGATGTGTCAGCTACGTCCGTCGGACACGTGGCGTAGTCCTTGGAAATCACAATGCTGCCCTAGTAAATAAGGCCATTATTGTCTAGGTGAGTAGGTATCGAGGACGGGGGCGGTTCGTGGCTCCCCGGTGCGACGTTTCATATTCCACGTCATCTCTATAAATAGGATCCCTGGGCCCATAGTCTGTTTCACCTCTTCACGCTCCTCCTGCTTTCTCTATTTTTACAGTCGTTGGTTCCCGTAACGCTGTTGAGACCGTCGCACCGTTCACCGTCCGATTACTCCCACCACCGTTGTTTCTACGCATCTTCTTCCAAGTAAGTATCCTTTCTTCCTGCTTCCCTGTGTTGTAGATAGTTTTGATGATGTTTTGATAATAGAAACCTGTATCCGGAAGTTATGCCCGGTAGATTTAAGCGCGCTATGCGCCTGATTCATAGTTGTGCTCGAGATGCTCATAAGTTTAGGCATATGATTTATGATCTTGCCCGCGATACTCATGTGTTTGGTCGGTAGAGTCATGAGATTGACCGGGATATTCATCCTTTAGGTAGTATGTATGGTAGTCTCCTCGCAGTGTTCTAGCATCGAGTAAGCGAAATTATGAACTAGGTCGCGTGATTCAAGTTTCGCCCGTGGCGCTCATGTTACGCTCGTGCCATTCATGATTGATGCGTGGTTGGCTCTAGGGTGTCGGTGTTTGGTTGAGATCCACTTATTTCTCGTTTCCCTCGCGAATGGCTTGAGTTTCGATCTGAGCGTTGCGTACTTCTCCCTGTCTTTGTGGCGAGCACGCGGATTTGCTGTCGAATTCACCGATTTCCTGTACTTTGCAGGTAAATGGCCGACAACCCAGAGTCCTCGGGACGTAATGATGTCAAGGAAGCAAGCACAATAGAAGAGAATGTTACCCTGGTCGACACTGTCGACGACCCCACACTGGACTGGGTGGGCGCTGAGCCTCGGGGAATTGCTTTAGTGTACATCCATCACAGCAGACGAGCTTATACTGTCGTTGAATACGGCGGTACTCAAGAAGGATTCCAACGGAATTTTAAAATAATGAGGCCGACGAGTGATGCTCGCATATGCTCGGAGTTCACTGAAGATGTGTTCCCCATGTATGAGATTGTATTCAAGGATCTTGGTCTTTGGTTGCCTTTTAACGACTTCCAGGTCGGGGTGTTCAATCACCTGAACCTGGCCCCCTCGCAGCTCCACCTCAATGCGATCACCTTTCTCCGAGCGTTCGAGCTAACTTGCTGTTTACTGAGAATTGGGGCGACAATTCCCCTATTCTTTAGGGTTTTCCATTTGCAACGCCAGTCTCGAGGAGACAAACACAACTGGGTATCTCTTAAGCAGTCGAAGAGACTGTTTAGGATGTATATGGACTCAGCGAGGGATTTTAAAGAGAAATGGTACATACTGCAGCCGGCCACCCAGACGGCCCTAGAGTCTTTGTTCGAGCCGGCCACCGTGGTCGACGAGGACGGGGAGCCCATTTTGGATGTTGAGGGTAGTCCCGCAATCGGGAGGGTTTCCAGGTTCCCTATTCATTAGTGCTCGGGTTATTGTGACCATGGTCCCGGGCACTATCATACCCCTGCGGGGAGCATGAGCGCCGAGGATGAGGACGCTTATGCCGTCCTTTGTAAGTTTGTTGATGGGTTTTTCCCCGCTCGGTGGGTCACGAGGGAAGGGGACGACATTATCGATGAGGATGGCTACCCGACGTTCGAGACGCACCCTATCAATACCAAGGCGCTCGTTGAATGCCAATCCTACGGGCAGGCTGTAGATCTCCTAGGTTTCCTGCTCTTGCCCTTATTATTATTCTACTTTAATTGCCTTTAATCGTTTGTAGCTAACCCTGGTTTTCTCTTCTTGCAGGTCACATGGCGGAACATCGAGAGAGGTTGCTGAAGTTGACCTAGGATAAAAAGATAAGTAAGAGACTGGTGAGACCGCAACAGGCCACGCGGATGGGCCTGCCCGCTGATTCGGGCAAAGACGGATCCAACGGGTCCTCGGGTTCTCCCGATGCCGAGCGACAGACTGGGCTGGTTAGCAGGAAGAGGAGTCGACCTGAGGGCGGAGCAGAAACTGGTGATGAGACTGTAGCTGCCAGGGCTTTTAGCCTACCGCCTTGCTTTGTGGAGAAGGATTTCTTCGAGGGGTTTCCCCTGACTGTGTCTGATAATGAGGCCGACATCATTAAGCGGCTCGACAAGGAAGGTCTGAGGAAACACCTCGCCGCTAGCATGGTCGGTGTGGTGAAAATGATCGAGATGGATGTGGTCCTTGCAGGGGAAGGATCAGATTCTTCGGACCGGGTTAGGGAGCTGGAATCGGAGAAGGCGACCTTTGCGGCCAAATCTCGCAAGTTAAAGGCGGCCCTCGAGCGGTCCGAGGAGATGTTTCGTGAACAGGCCGACTTATTGTCAGGGGAGAAGGAGAAGGCGGAAAAGGCCTTTGAGAAGAGGGATTGCCTCCAACTCGACAAGGAACGGCTGGAGAGCGACAACCAGCGGTTGTCTAGGGAGATCGAGGAGTTGAAAGCTGCTATGCTTCCTGCTGATGACGAGCCTGAAGAGATAGCCTCTTTGCATACATGCTCAGATTTGGTCGCTCGCATCCACCTCCTCGAGTCAGATTGCGTTGGTGCCTTAGCCGACAGGTTCGAGGCTGTGGTGAGTCAGCTGCCCGTTCTAAATCCGGGCCTGAACACCAGGGAGTCGGATTTCTGTCTCAGATTATTGACGACCAGGTTGTGCCTCCTCCCGATTCTCCTGATGTGGACACCAGTAATCCGGGGAATGCTTAACATCTAGTTATTGTTTGGGTCTGCGAGCTCGTGTATTGATTTTTGGGGCCTGCGTGCCCGTTTTTATTCTTGATTTCTTTTGGCCATCGTGCCATGGATTGTAAATTTGAACATCGCCAGCCTTCTTGGTCAGTTCACCATTAATCCGTTTTATGCATGTTTTTTCGATGGATGTTTGTCTTGCAATTATCTGCTCGTATCTAGGTGTATGCTCGACTGTTATTTTCGTAATGAACAATTTGATAAGGTTTTGTGCTCGAACAAAGATATCCTCTCGACCCCTTTGATGGTTCGACACACTTCAGAATGCGTGGATTGTGCAGAGTGGATCCCGCGCGTCAGACGTATGATCCAGATCGGGATCCTACACTCGCGGTGTGAACTGCCCATCGCGAGCTGGGTGTTTTGCCATGTGGGTACTTCGACAGTGGAGCTCGATCGAGGTGTCCCTGCCGGGCATTGTCGTTCGGCTTATTGGGTGAACGGCGGTATGCCACTCGGTGGTTGGTAGGTCGGGTCTGTACCTCGACTCGCCTACGTGGTCGAGACTTTTCCCTTTGTTGGCTAAGGGTGGATGTTCGACGGCAAAAGTCCACAGTGGTTGAGGGCTTTAGCTATAGTACTGTTTTAGCTTAGCAGCATTCCAGGGTCGTGGTAACGGTTCTCCGTTTAATTGCTCGAGGTAATATGCTCCGGTGCCTGTGGCGCCTTGAACGTGGTAGGGTCCTCCCCAGTTTGCGGCCCATTTCCCTTCGCGGGAGTCCTTCTGGTTTCTTCGCAAGACTAGGCCGTCGATCTGGAACTCGCGTCTGATGACCTTGTCATCATGACGCAGGGCTACTCATTGTTTCAAAGTGGCCTCGCGTAGGGCTTCCCCTGATCGAATTTCTTCGACCAGGTCGAGTTCGTCCCTAAGGGCTTCGTCATTCATTTCTTCGTCAAGAGGCATCTCTGTCCTCCTGGAGGGTTCCCTGATCTCTATGGGGATGATGGCCTCGGTTCCGTATGTTAGTCGAAAAGGGGTCTCGCTTGTCGTCGAATGGGGTGTAGTGCGGTAAGCCCATAAGACGCTATGTAGTTCCTCGATCCACCCTCTTTTTGCTTCGCCTAGTCGGCGCTTGGGTCCTCGCAGGATGACCCTGTTGGTGGCCTCGGCTTGCCCGTTGGTTTGGGGATGCTCGACCGAGGTGAAATATTGTTTGGTCCCGAGTTTGGCGACGAAGCTCCGAAAGCCTTTGTCGGTGAATTGGGTACCGTTGTCTGTGATCAGCGCCCGCGGGATTCCAAATCGGACGAGGACGTTTCGTTTGTAGAAGCGGAGGATGTTGTGGGAGGTGATTTTTGCAAGGGCCTCGGCCTCTATCCATTTCGTAAAGTAATTCACTGCCACAATAAGGAATTTGTTTTGGTACGTCCCTTGTACGAATGGTCCGAGGATATCCATCCCCCACCAGGCAAATGGCCACAGGGATGAGAGTATGTTCAGCTCGTGCGGGGGAGCGAGATGCATGTCGGCGTGTTTCTGGCACTTGTCGCATTTCTTGACGTGGTCTTTGGCGTCCTGTTGCATCGTCGGCCAGTAGTACCCTACTCGCAGAGCCTTCCTTGCTAGGGACATGCCGCCCATGTGCTAGGCGTTAATACCCTCGTGAATTTCCCGTAGTACCTCGGGGGCTGTGGATTCGTCGATGCACTTTAGGAGTGGGATGGAAAATCCCCTATGATACAGTATATGCTCGATCACCACGTAGGAGCATGCTCATCGTTTGGTCGCGGTCGCCTCTGTTCGGTCTGAAGGGAGCTCACCCTTCGTCAGGAAGTTGAACACCGGGGTCATCCAGCACGAAGCATCCCCGATGGTATTCACCTCGAGAGGGATCGAGGATTTTTCGATGCTTGGGCGGGATAGGGATTCTTGTATGACGGATTTGTTCCCGCCCTTTTTTCCGGTGCTTGCGAGTTTTGAAAGTATATCGGCCCTTGTGTTTTGCTCGCGCGGGACGTGCGATATTTCTGCTCGGTCGAACTTCTTGATGTATTCTCTGACTAGGTTCAAGTATTCAATGAGGCTGTTGTTTTTAGCCTGGTAACTTCCTTGGACTTGGGAAGCAACGAGTTGAGAGTCGGTGAAAATTTGTACTTCACGTGCCCGTAGGTCCTCGGCTAGCCTCAGTCCTGTGAGCAGGGCCTCGTATTCTTCTTGGTTGTTTGAAGTTGGGAAAGAGAGGGTGAGCGAGTGCTCGATCACCACACCTTCCTCATTTTCTAGGAGGATCCCCATGCCGCTTCCGGATGAGCTGGACGCTCCGTCGACGAAGATGGTCCACTTGTGCTCTTTCCCTGCGGGGGGGTTGTGAGCGGTCATTTCTGCAACAAAATTGGCCAGAGCTTGTGCCTTTAGGGCTTTCCTACTCTCGTATTGAATGTCAAACTCAGAGAGTTCCAAGGACCACTTCAACATTCGGCCTGCCATGTCTGGTCGACCTAAGAGCTGTTTCACTGGCTGGTCAGTTCGTACTATGATCGTGTGCGCGAGGAAATAGTGTCTGAGTCTCCTCGCCGCGTTGAAGAGGGCTAGAGCTACTTTCTGTATTTGTTGGTATCTGACCTCGGGCCCTTGCAGCACTTTGCTCGTGAAATAGATGGGCTTTTGTCCGTCGGACGTCTTGCGAATGAGAGCCACGCTGATGGCTTCGATCGAGATGGCCAAGTACAAGAACAAAGGTTCCCCGTCGATGGGTCGTGATAGCACGGGAGGTTGGGATAGACTTTGTTTGAGATGGAGCAACGCCTGCTCATATTCCTCGGTCCATTTGAAGGTTGCTTCTTTGCGAAGGAGTTTGAAGAAGGGGAGGGCGTGTTTAGCGGATCTCGCAACGAAACGGGATAACGAGGTGAGCATGTCGTTCATGACTTGTATGGATTTTTTCGATGTGGGTGTGAGGAGATCGGAGAAAGCCTGACATTTGTCGGGGTTGGCTTCAATTCCTCGTTCTGTCAGGTAGAAGCCGAGGAATTTTCCCGCCTTGACCCCGAACGTGCACTTCTCGGGGTTAAATCTCATCTTGCATCGTCTTGCTTGAGCGAACACTTCTTTGAGGTGAGCGGCATGGTCGGTATCTTCTCGGGATTTAACGATCATGTCGTCCATATACACCTCGAGCATGTCCCCGATTTGGTTGTGGAACACTTTGTTCATCATAGGTTGGTATGTTGCTCCTGATTTTTTAGACCAAAGGGAATCACGTTGTAGTAATAGTTGCCCGAGCTGGTCATGAAAGCAGTGCAATGCTTGTCGCTTACAGCCATTGGGATTTGGTTATAGCCTAAATAGGCATCCATAAATGACAGTATTTTATAATCGGCCGAGTTGTCGACCAGCATATCTATGTTGGGTAGAGGAAATGCATCTTTCGGGCATGCCCGATTGAGATCAGTATAATCAACACACATTCACCACTTTCCATTATTCTTTTTGACTAGTACAACATTTGACAGCCAGGTTGAATACCGGGCTTCGAAAATATAATTTGCCTCTAGGAGGTCTTTTACAGCTTTTTCAGCAGCCTCCATTTTCTCCGGAGACTGCCTACGCCTACGTTGTACTACTACCCTAGCGGCTGGATCTATGGCGAGGCGGTGACAGGCGACCTCGGGGTCGAGTCCGGGCATCTCTGCGGCGTTCCATGCAAATAAGTCCGCATTCTCGTGCAAGCAGGCTTTGATTTGCTTCCTCGCCAAGTCGGGGAGGCCAATACTGATCTTCACTCCTTTTCTCGCGTCCTCGCCAAGAGGGACGAGTTCGAAGTCTCCGTCCGGAATTGGTTGAAGGGGGACTTGCTCACCGCTGGGAGGCTCATCCTGGTCGAAGCGGGTGTCCAGGGCCATCGAGTCGACCATTGGGGGAGCTCTCTGCTCTTCTACCTTGACAGGCTCTGTCTTCTGAGGCTCTGGTTGTGTCGTTGCAGCTCTCTTGGTAGGCCTGGTACCGGTGTCGACCGTATCGCGTCCCTTAGATGCCGCGTTGAAACACCTTTGGGCAGCTTCCATGTCCCCTTGGATGGTGGCGACCCGTGCCCTCTTGGTGTAAAACTTCATCTTCAAGTGAACGGTAGAGGGTACCGCGGTCAGTTCTGCCAATGTCGGCCTTCCCAGAATGCAGTTGTAGAGGGAAGGGCAGTCGATGACGAGGAAGCGCACCTTGACCTGCCTCGTTGTTGTATCCTCGCCAAAGGTAACCATGAGCTCGACGTATCCCCAAGGTTTAGAAGTCAAGCCGTTAAAGCCCTGCAGGTCTGACCCCACATAAGGTGAGAGGTGTGAGTCGTCGAGCTGCAGGGTTCGAAATAGTTGGTTGTACATTACATCGACTGAACTTCCTTCATCGACAAGGACGCGATGTACGTCAAACTTGGCCATTCTCACTCTTATCAGCAGAGGAATGACCGTGTTGGGGGCCCCTCCGGGGAGCTCTTCGAGGTAAAAGGTGATAGGCTCTGATCTACCCTTCACCCTTTCAAAGGCCACCGTCTGAGGAGGTGCAGTATCGACCAATTCATCCAGCTTCCTCTTGGCTGAATTTATGGTCAGGTCGTTGAACCCTCCACCATTGATAACCATGGCGGAGGGAAAGTGCTCCCATCTGCTGTGCATCGACAACAACTCGTGTAAGTGTTCGGGGACGTAAAAGTCCTCGGGTCTGGTGACGGAGAAGGCGGTCTGGAAGGGGACCGACTCGTCAGATGGTCGGGCATCCTCCTCTGCTTCTCTTGTCTCACAGGCGTCACGATGAGGAGCATCGTTTCACCGGTATTGGGCGAGTCTCCCCCCTTTTATGAGGGTCTCGATGGCGTCTTTGAGGTGGACGCAGTCTTCAGTCAGATGGACATGACTCTTATGGTACTGACAGTATTTACTCCTGTCCACCCCGGGCTTGGCAGGAACTGGTCGGGGGAGCTTGACGCCGCCATCTTTGATATCTATATTGGCACACTCCGCCAAGATGCGTTTGCGGGAAGCCATGAGCAGAGTGTACTCTGTGAAACGCCCCGAGGATCCTCTCTGTTCTCGGACATCCCGGGGTTTGTCGTCTTTTCTTTTCTCCTCGGTTCGTCGAGGAGGAATGGATTCTTGGCGCGGGTTGCTGCTGGATCCGTGAGTCCTGGGGTCACGGGCTCTGTTGGCCGCTTCTCTTTCCTCGTAGTCCATGTAGGCCCTGGCCTTCTCTAGGAGAGCATCGAACGTTCGGGGTGGTTCGATGCCCACTGCTTTCCTGAACTCTGTGCCGGGGAGGAGCCCCCTCTCCAGCAGGTATCTTTTCATGTGGTCCGTACAGGGGACCTGGATGGCTTCACGATTGAAGCAGTTGATGAATTCTCTCAAGGTCTCATCCTGCCTCTGGACGATGGCCTCGAGTGCTGCTTCGGTCTTTGGATGTCGCCGTGACGCGGTGAACGAGCTTATGAATTGGTTTTTCAAGTTTCGCCACGAGGTGATTGACCCCGGGGCAAGACCCTTGTACCAATTCATTGCCACTTTCCTGAGGGTTGTGGGGAACAACCGGCATTTGATGGGTCCCCCGATGTTATGGTAGTGCAGCATAGCCTCGAACCGGTTTATGTGATCGACCAGGTCAGAGACTCCATCGTATTCTTTTAGATGAGGAGGCTTCTCCATGCCCGAGGGAATGGGTGCCTCCATGATGGCTTGTGATAGGGGACCACGGGGGTCGTCCTCATCACTTCGCTCTGGGGAGAGGGACGGGGACCTGAGGTATTGTCAGACACGATGGCCCTGATCGTGCTGGGCGTTCCTCGAGCGGTGCGCCCGTTGGCACGTCCCTCCGTTCCCGTCTCCAGGATGCCTTCGTTCTTGTCGTGAAAGGCCATGGTCACGCCCTCCGGCTTCAATGATTGGCTTTCTCTCCAAGGCGGGTCGCCTCCTCGGTGGTCGGAGTGACGGGCTTTGGGAGATGCCTTTGTCTTGTCTCCGCGGGGGAGATAGGAGACGTTACTTCGTTCTTCGAGGAGGTGGGGATTGAGGCCTCTTGTGTCTCCTCGGGGGCCTTCTTTCCTCCTCCAGTGCTCTCAGTCTTTCCCCTTGGGCAAAGATGAGGTAGTTGGTTTGGTTGATTGCCACGAACAGTGCCCTGGTCGTGGCGTCCGCTCCGGCGGGGACAAGAACTTCATGGAACTGAGCGGCTTGATGGTTCGGGGGAACCGGATTATCTTCTTGGAGTCGAAGGGGGATTGATGAAGAAGAAGCAGTGGCTCCATCCCGGTAGTTGGAGATTCCGAGGATGTTGCCACCTGGAGCAGTAACATGCGTTGTGACGCTGGCGTCATTATCGGCGTGGTTATTGCAGGCCTCGACAACACGATCATTCTGATTGTCTTGAATCTGGTCAGCCATGACGGTGGAAGATGGTTTTAGCTTTTGGTCTTTGAAGGTTTGTAAGACGGGGAAGCTTTGTTTCCCACAGACGGCGCCACTAATCTTACCGGATCAGAATTGGACCGTCACAGCTGGCTCGAACTGGATTTGAATGAGATGGGGGGGGGTACCTGCAAGACACTCCAATTATAAAATGAGAGACAGAATGGGCAGGCAAATAGTATGTAGGTGCGTAACGAATGAATACTTGACCCTCTTGGAACAGAGGGTATTTATAGCCCCCAGCGTTGGGCTAAGGTCCCTTTATTGGGCCGACCAGAGCTGGCTCAACAAAGGGACTGCCAGGTTCTACGTGTGTAGTGGGGACCCGCACGTGGTCCCCTTCCTGGATGGTGCTCTGCGAAGAATGAGGAAGAACGAAGACGCGGTCTTCTCGGAGCTCTAAGGATTCCGCAGCATTCAGAGGGGGTTGAGTCTGCCCTACGAGGAGGATGCTCGAGCAAGACTCGAGTTGGAGTACCCTCGGTCGGGGATGCTGCTCGCTGCGGGTAGCGGCGGGCATAACCGTTGTGGCCTGTAATTGGGTATGCTCGGGGTGGTCTGATTCTGAGCATAGCTCGAGGAACTGCCTGTATATACTTTGAATTGCATACATTCCCTTGTAGCATTAAGCTTTATACTTAGATTTTTACACCCTTAGATAAGAACAAACTTGAGTGAATCCGTAGAGTACCACGGACAAGAGGGGTGTTAATTCCTTCCTCTTACATAATCGGCTCCCTTACCATTTTCTCTTGGTCGTAATACTATGCTTCTTTCCTCTCCTTTAGGTTTATTCAGTGTTTCCTTTCCCTCTCTTTGAAATAAATAACATTGATGGAGACTCTTCTGTGTTCTTCCTATCGTTCGCGCTTCAATTGAAAAAATCCCATACGCGATATATAACACAACAAAATATAAAAATCGTCATAGAATACTTTCACCATAAACTCATCATTAACAGCCACCTGTATGAATTTTCAGCCAAATCCATATGAGAAAATAGAAAATGAAAAACAGAGGAAGATTTACAAACCTCCGTGAACACCGTCGAAACATGCACGATTCTCCATCCGACGAAATCATCGACAATCGCGAAACAATCCGAACAAAATCGCACCACCCTTGAAAGCTACCTAATCATACTTTTGATCTACCATTCCCGACCAACAACCGCAGTTAATCGATTTCCGCCGATGCAACACTCCGCCAACGACGCCCTTCACGGCCACACGACTCTTCTTCAACGCGCAAGACCATGCCAACTGCCTGCGGCAGCTCTCGCTCTCTGACGTCTATGAATCAGAGTCCTATAAGACAGCCACCACAGCTCCCTACCACCGGTTTTGTCCACTGCTCCGACAATCAAAACCAACCCTCGCTCGTTCCCGTCGGTGCCGCATCTGGACCACCGCGACGAAGTACCCTTGTCACTTCCAATCGCGGCTTCAAATAAGTTATTCTCCTTTATTTTCGAATAAGATACTTGATCCAGATCTATGTCGAGTTATTTTATTGTTGTGATTTGAGAAGGATACAAGAATAATGAGAATAGAAAAGTGCAAAGAGGGGAAATTTATTGTAAAAAGAGAAGAAGTGAATTGAGAGAGAAATCGTAAACTTGATCTTTAATTATACATGACATTTAGTTGGCTGAACATGAAGGCCCGTGGCTTGAGAAAAGGACTTAAAAATCTTTATCAGACTGCTAACAGAAGGGATGTCTCCTCTAGCAAATAAGATAAGATCATCAACAAAACTAATGTTTGTTATGCAGAGTTTCTTGCAGTGGGGATGAAATCTGAAATTCTGCATATAGGCAAGGTGAGTTAGGGCTCTGTGAAGGTATTCCATGACAATAACGAACAACAATGGAGAAATTGGGTCTCCCTGCCTCAGCCCTCTTCCTGCTTTCAAAACATCAGTCAACTGGCCATTAATAGAGAATCTATACGAAACTGTGCTGACACATTTCATAATCCAATCCACAAATTTTCTAGGGAAGTTCATCTCCCTTAAAATTGTGGTTAATGCAATCCACTCCACCGTATCATAAGCTTTACGAATATCCATTTGTATTGCGCGCCTGGAGGAAATATGTTTACGACTGTACCCCCTCAAGAGCTCATATTCCATTAGTATGTTGTCATGAATCACTCTTCCAGGTAAAAACGCAGATTGACTAATATCAATAACTTCATTGATTATCTTGCTGAGCCGATTTGTAAGAACTTTGGACAGAATCTTATACACAGTGGTACAACAAGCAATGGGGCGAAGATCCTTCATACAATCTTCCCCAGGGATTTTAGGAATGAGTGTCACAACTGCACAATTGATCGCAACATAGATATGGTTGTGATGATAAAAATCATGAATTGCTGAACACATATCTCCTTTTACAATAGACCAAGTGTTTACCTTGGGTTTTGGTAAACAACCGCTGATCCTCCAAATGGTTACTTATTTGGTTACTCGCAGGATCGATCAGATTGATCCTAGGACATAGGTTGATTTTGAAGTTTGATTAAATTGGATAAGGCTTTAAATGAAAGGTTTCAAGTAAATTGCAAGAAGGAAAAACTTGGTAAAATAAACAAGGCTTAAAGTAAAAGGTTCGACAAGAATGTAAAGGAGAAATCAAGTAAATTTCTGGAAAAGTAAATGACTTTAATTGATAAAATTGGTGTTTCACACATACATTTCTCAACAATTCTTTCTCACACGCTGGGTACTCGAATCTATATGAGTGACTTTGTATAGAATTGTGAACACACGCGAGAAACTACATGTCTACTCCTATTTATACTAAAACATCCCAAGTAACCGTCGGGCAGTTACACTGCTTCGAGATCAATCCACTTGGCACGTTCTCCATGCTCGACGCTCCAGATCCTTGCACGTTTGCACGTGGTAACTGCTGGAAACCGTTTTCCCTCCAAAAGCTTGAATTTCAAACTGCTCCACTCTGAACCATCGAACACTTTCGTCAAGAGACATCTTCGACGAGATACTCCTTCGACGTCGAAGGCAACCAGCCTTCTTCCCTGGAAGAAATCTTCTAAGTATTTTGCCATCTTTCGACGGGCACTTCGACAGACTTAGCCAGTCGAAAGCATCTTTCAGCTTTTAATGGTTGACATTAATAAAACAAGAGTGTCGAATTTAGGAGCCAACAAATTGCCCCCCAAGAATGCCTTATTTCGACTCTGACAGAAAAAGGCATTCTTTGAAAACGCCATTCGACACTTGTCTCTTTATGCTTAGTCACAAATTAACTTGTGCACTTTTTGTTGTTTTCTACCAACTATTGGCAATCCCAAGAAAACCATCATTGATTTGATCCTAGGACGTCACTTTCAGTACGGCGTGCAGTACCAAACGTCATTTCAGAATTTGTCATAATGACAATTCCCAAAAACGAGGACGCACGCTGCGTCTCTCTATTTCTGCAGAAACGGCCAAAACAACAGGAGGCTGCCACGCGTCCCACTAACTCCTGCAGCATTAAATGGCATTTAATGTCCTCGTTATTGGGGATTTTTCCCACTACTATAAATAGTAGTAAGTACCCCATTGTGGGACTTTTTACGCCATCTAGCCTTCAAACTTCCCTGTTTTCATACAAGTTTGCTATCTTTGCAGAAACTCTTCCTCTTTCACTTCATCTCCAACCTCACTTCAAACTCAACACCAAACCATGGCCTCTGGTTCTACTGCTCCCAGTGCTAACGCACCAACTGAACATGTTAAACCCAAGGTTTTCGTCACTGCTCCGGTAGTAAATTCTACAGGCAAACGAAGGGTTCCTGAACCTTCTGACATCGCCGTTCGCGATGCTTACTCGCGCCACTTGATGATCCCGGTTGGATACTCCAACCAGATCTTTGCAATGTCTGGCCCCATGAATCCAAGTATCTCTGAAGCTCTGAAGATCAAGAGCTATTTCCCAATAGTCGAGAAACTCAAACCAGTCGCATGCGCCAAGAAAGACGCAGAAGACAATGAAGACCCTGCACGTGAAAAAATCGACCTCCGCTTCTTCAACAGAGGTGTTAGGGTCTTCAGGTCTTGCCCTAACCTTACCTCCGATTATGTTGCTTGGCTAACAAAGTTGGAGAAGCACCAAACTTCGATCTGGAAGGATATGGGAATCTTCGACCTAGTGATGCTGTCGAAGACGGGTTTGAACTACTCCCCGGAGATGCTGATAGCTTCACTGTTGTTCTGGGACTATTCCCACTTTACTTTTCATCTTCCATGTGGGATGCTAACCCCCACACTCTTCGATGTGGCCGCTATTACTGGCCTTCGACCCACCGGGGATTACTTCGATCCGGAGGAGATGTCGGAGGACCAAATTGGCTTCTCTGAGACCAAACCAACATACACCACTTTCATCAACCATTATCACGACAGGTCGACAGATGCTGTGTCGGATGTCGAACACATAGCGTTTCTAGCCTTATGGCTAACTCGCTTTGTGTTTTGCTCGAAGTCTCTACAGGTGACCAAAAAGATGGTCACTCTTGCTACTCAACTGCATCACCGCCAAAACATCTGTTTGGTAGAACTGATTCTGGCCAGCCTCTATGATTCGATCAGCAATGGGGCAACTCTTCTGAAACATATCGAGGACAGGGCCAGTTTGCTACTCGCTGGGCCTTTTTGGCTACTCCAACTGTGGCTCAATGCCACTTTCGAATCTTTCTTGCCCAAGAAGGTTCAGATAAATGAACAGGCTCCAGCGATAGCGAATAGACGCATCGAAGGAATCAGGCTGGCTCTGCTGACACCTACGGACGATGGACTGGAGTTTCAACAAACCTTCACCAACTTCGTTCTAATGTTTGCTCGAAGGAAGGAGTTTGTTTCAAATATGGCTCCATTTGCTCGACGGCAGGTAGGCCCAGCATGGTTCACAAGGCCACACCCAAAGGCGTCGAGTGGTCCTAATGTCGATGAGCATACAATACTGTGGGAGGCGTTCCTTACACCAAGGATCATGCCTCTTCGATTCAAGAGTTCTAAGACTCATTTGAGTCTGATTGCCTACCAACCAAATCTGGTATCTCGCCAGTTTGGTATTATCCAAACCCTACCTTCTCCGATTTTTCAAAGAGAGAAGTCCATGCTGTACTTCTGCAATGATTACACAGAAGAAGCGGCCATTAAACATATCGGAAGATATGCTGGTCGAACAATCCTCTCGCTGTTTGACTACCAGCTCAATTTCCTTTGCTCACCATCCTTCAAGGAGTGGTGGAGAAGCTATTATGCTGAGTACTTCTTCGACGAGAAGGACTTCATGGATGAGTTGCAGAAGTCTTTTGTCCTTGTGTTGGACAAAATAAAGAAATGTAAGTCCATTCTCTCACATTACTTTTTTTTGTCTTTCTCTTCGACTGCTAGCCTGTTAACTTTTTCATTTGCTTTCAGTTGTTCGAAAGCCTGTAGCCAAGAAGGCTACAGAAGGCCAACAGGGAGGAGCCCCTTCAACAAAACCTCCACCGCCGGCGAAGACTACAGCGTCGGCGAAGACCACAAGCCACCAACAGGGGGAAGGCTCTTCGAAGAGGCCTTCTATATCGGTAACCAGATTTTCTTCATTTTTCTTCTGGCTTTCGATTTTTGATTTTCGATGCAATTATTCAATCGAATTCCTATTGGTTTTCTAGGCACCTTCGCCCAAGAAACGGCCAGGACTGGTGGTCGAATCTGGGAGTGATGAAGAAAGTGATTCCCCTTCTGCCCCCTTAAAAAGGCGAAAGTTGACGAAGGATGCTTCTGTTCCTGCTCCTGCTCCTGAAGGTCGAACTGTCAGAATAAAGGTTGCTGTGAGAAAGCCTAGGCCACCTCCAATGATCATCGAGGAGCCAACTGAGGAGGAACTAAACATTCTTCTTAACAAGCCTGTCGAAAGTGACAATTCCAGCCCTGGGGCTGAAGTTAATCCACAGGTAATCTCCTAGACCTTTTTTTATAATTTAGGCATAGATACCCATATTCGATTGTGTCTCTTTCGACATCTGAAAATTTGTCTTCTTTCCCTTTTCAGGACACTACTGAGAGTTCTCCGCCAAGGACCTCAGAAACGCTGGAATCTGCTGAACTTAGCAGGCCTCAGGAAAAAGGCTTGGGCAATGACGAAGCCCATACTGAGAATGAGGCCAATGCTGAAACAGTAGAAAAACCAGCGGAGGAGCCTCAAACGGAGGAACCACATCCAGAAGCGATTCAGGTGGTGGATTTGTCAGAAGAGAATCATGAAGAAAGGGACCAAGGCAATGATGGCGAAGAAAATCAAAATGCTGCCGACGAAGAGAACCAAGGTGGTACTGGCGAAGGACACCAGGGTGACGCTAGCGAAGAGCCACAAAATGATGCTGGCGAATGACCCCAGGGTGATGCTAACAAAGAACCACGAGTCGACGCTGGTACTGCCCCAGTCCGAGT